ACCTTAACTACGTAGATAGGCGTATAGAGCTTCCTTAGGTTCGCGAACTATTATAGGATATTTATTAAGGGCTTCTCTTATATTATAATGCCCCTAAACGATATTACCGGGAAGCGGACCGCCTTTTACTAGGGGCCCGTATAGGAAGGAGCGTTCCGTACGCTTAAGGACCTATTCTCTTAAGCCCCGGTACTACTCTAGTAGGACTTTAACTAGTCTATGTTAGTTAAAGTAGACTATAGCGGCTAGGCACTTAAAGGAACGCTCTCTTAGGAGGTAGATAGGCGGAAGTAACTAGTAGCGTTCTACTCCTATAAGCTAACCTTAGTAAAGCGGAATTACGCTATTTACGATAAGGAGATACTAGCGATTATTAGCTACCTTAAGTAATAGTAAGTAGAGCTCTAGAGCTATAAGAGCTTCGAGGTTCTTATAGACTATAGGAACCTTAAGTACTTTATAACTCGCTATCACCTCTTAAAGCGGTAAGCCCGCTAAGCGGAGTATCTCTTACGCTTTAACTTCTCGATTAAGTACCGCCCTAGGTAGGACTCCGCGGTCCTAGACGCGCTTTCCCGGAAGGATTAAGACCGGCTAATAAGAGCGGACATCGAGGCCTAGGATCTATAGCTTATCCTATAGGAAGCACTACGGACTTATATAGGAGCTTCCCTAGTAGAGGAAGACGCGGTGCTAGCGAATAAGCTTCCCCCTACGCCCTTACCTTAGTCCGGCGAGGAAGGATAGACCGGCCTAAGGGCGCGCGCGGCGAGAGTGTTCTAAGATAAGGCCCTATAACGCTTATAGGATAGGATAGCGGCTCTAGACCGTACCTACGAGGGCGTGCGCCGCGCCGTTAAGTCCGGCGCTCGACGCCTAGATCTAAAGCTAAAGCTAAAGGTATAGGTAGCCGACTACTATATCGACCTATAGGGGCATCTACGCTAGCGGGGGAGACTATAGGTACTAGGCGCACCGTATACTATAGAAGCTAAGGAGAAGGAGGGACCGCCGGAGCTAGACGAATAGAACGAGCTCTAAGGGAGGCTAGTCTAACTTATCTATAACTCTAGCGTCGTAGGTTACCTAGGTAGACAGGGCATAGTAGTAGGCCTTACGAGGGACTTTTACTAGCCCCTCTTATAGTACTATATTCGTCGCTTCCTCTATAACTACGATATCTACGGCCGTATAAAGATCTAGAGGGCGTAGCTTAAAGGGCTACTTAAGTAGCTTCCGGTGCCTAACCGGTTCTATACGTATATATAGATAGACTTTATAACGGACCTCCTACTTATAAAGGGCGGCAACCGCTATATATAGGTAATTAAGGACTGTCTTAGTAAGTCTATAGTATTAAAGCTAATACCGTCTATAGATATAGAGTCCTATATAGAGCGCTTCTTATAGTACTAGGCCCGCTTATATAGCTAGCTAGCCTTTATTATAAGCGATAAGGGATCGAATTAGACTAGCCGCTTTTAGTAGCACCTATACTAGCTGCTTTAGATTACGTAGCTACTTAGCATAGTATATTACTTATAGACCGATAGAGGGCCTAAGAGGGTTAACTAGGAGGCGTAGGCTTACCTATAGGCTATCGTAGCCCGTAACTAAGTAGACTAGGACCGGTAGCTCCCCGCGGCCTAACTTACGTTAAATAGTAAACTATATACCTCTATTAAGATAGCCCCTTTCTTTATAACGTATAGCTTTAAACTACCCTTACTAGTTCCCTTTACTATAAATATAGTAATAAAGTAGTATAGTAATACGTTACTAGAGGGCCGCGCCTCCGCGTTCGTATAAAAGCTATAGGAGACTATAGATTATTGCTAATCCGCGATAGCCGCCGCGGCGTAAGATTAAGAGTAGCACGCTAATAAGACTAGGGCCCTAGTAGATAGGTTCGCGGTAGGAAATAAGGTATAGCTAGACCTCTATAACTATAAGTCGGCACGACTAAAGAAGAAGCTTAACTAGCTATACACGAAGTTTATAGTATAGAGGGTTATTAGCCTATAGGTTATAGAGCTTAATAGTCTCCTAATAGGGGTCTATAATAAGATTAATATAGACCTCCTTCGTAGAGCCTCCTTTAACCCGCTACCCGGATAAGAAGTAGCGGACGCTTAACCGCCCGTAATCGAGGTAAAGGGAGAGGACGAGTTCGAGGTTAAAGAGATATAGGCCGCGCGCTAGAAAAAGGTCGGTAGGGGGAAACGCCGGAAGGTCCTCGTTAAGTAGCACGGGTATCTCGACCCTATATAGGAACCCGTACGTAAGTTTACGGGAACTATAGCCCTCGATAAGTTTAAAGCCTTATTTAGAACGGTAGACGAGAATAACGGACTAATAAACTACCGATAGTAGCCTAGGCTAGGACTACAAAGTAGGTATAGCGGAGGGGGTAGTTATAGTAATATAGGTAATATAAGCGCAATAGTATAGGCGGAGATAAAAATAGCGTTTATTATAGGGCGGAGCCCCTAGACTACCTAGGCCTATTCCTTATTATTATTATTATTATTATCTTCGTTATCGTCGTCCTCGTCGGCCTCCTCCTTCTTATTAGCGGCGGCGGCGGTCTCTAAAGCGCTAAAGCGGCCCTCTAAGCCTATAAGCTAGTCGGCGGCGGCGGCGGCTCTAGGGGTAGAGGGGCAGCGGCTAGCGGCGGCGGTAAGGGCAGCGGCGGTAGCGGAGGCGGGCACGGCTAAGGGGACCGCCGATAGGGCGACGGAGGCAGTATCCCTAGCGCCGGGGACGGTAGAGGCCGAAATGGGAGCGGAGAGTAGGACTTACTTAGGTATAAGGCCCTATCGCTCGAGGCGCGGAGGTTACGGGCGGCGGCGGCGGTAAGGCGCTTAGTAGCCCCCGCGCCTACCTATACGAGCCGGCCTTCTAAGCCGACGCCGTAGCGAGTAGGATAGGAGGCGCCGCCTTATAGGCGCGGCCGGCTCGCGCGCACTAGTAGCAGCTGCCGCCGCGGCGGCGCCTAGCCTAGTCGGAGTAGTCGAGCTCCTATAACGTATAACGTATATAGGGGGCCGAGCGGGCGGCGCCGGCCTATACTTAGCGCTTATACTATAGGAGGTTAGTAGATAATGTCTATTACGCTTACCTAATTACGGACTTATAGGGGTAGCGGAGATGGAGGCGGGGGCCGAGGGGCCGGGCGTTATAGGTAGCGGCGGGGACGGCGTCGTTACCTTAAGGGGCGACGTAAGAGCGAATAGCATAGTAGAGGCGGCGGCGGCGGCGGTAGGAGCGGTAGCAGCGGCGCGGGTAGGAGCGGCGGCAGCGGCGGAGTCGTCGTCGGCCGCGGCTAGCACGGCGTCGACGAACGACTCTATACGCTCCGAGAAGGAGGAGGTAGGAGAGGGAGAGGCGGATATATCTATCGCGGAAGTTAGCACGACGGAATACGGCCTCCCGCTCTATAAGGCATAGAACTTACTAGTTAGAGTTATTATTATTATTAGGGCTATTATTACTACTACTACTACTACTATAAGTATATATTAATAGAGCGGCCTATATAGCTAGGAACGGACTAACGCCCTAGGTAAAGCGGAACTTACCTATTAATACTACTACTATAGTTAAAGAAGGGAGAGAAGGAAGGGAAAGGGGAAGGGGGGAATGCCGCCTTATATACCCCTTAGTAGAGGATACTACCTAAGGTAGAGGGGACGGGTAACCTAAGGCTTACGTAGGTCTAGACTAGCCGCCGGCTACCTAGGGGCGTATATAATAGGTTACGCCCCTATTTAAACGGCTAGCCGGCCGATAAGTATAGAGCCGGGTCCCGGCTGCCTAGGCTAACGGGCGCGGGGATAATAGGGCTAGTAGGGCCGGCCTTATTAACGGGAAAGGGTAGGGAAGAGCCTACGGCACGGGCCTAATTATACGGGAGCTATTAATAGGGCAGTACTACGCCGCGCTCGAGGGAGGGCATTATATAAGAGTCTTTAACTATTATAGGTAATAGGCTTAGGCCGCGGCCTAAGCTATATAGTTACGTGCGGAGGGCCGGATCCTATAAGTATAGGGGCGGGCCAGCCGCGTATAGAAGAGCTCTATATAGCTTATTAATATTATCCTACGGACGGCACCTACGCGTACGCCTCTACTTACTCTATAATAGTATACCTCTTAAAGTTTAAAAGGATTCTCTTAAAAATAAATTAAGGAAAGTTATTAGTCTCTCGCTATAGCTACGCGGGTCTAGGAAGGATTACCTAGCTCCTTTTCTTCCCCTTGCCTTGCTCTATATAGCTATAAATCTCGCGTACTATCGAGATCTTTAAGGGCCTAGCTAAAATTCGTCGTCGAGAAATTACTTAAAATACCTAACGATAGATATTAGTCCTAAGCCGCGTACTAGAGAGTCTCCTATTTATCTAGTTAGTTTAATTAATTAGCTTAAATTATTAGAAGCCTAGTACTTATATAAATAGTCTTCTCGTTAACGCGATTCGTTGTAAAGGCCTAGTTTAAAGACTAAAAGCGAACTAATAAAATAGTTCGTAATATAAGAAAATATTTAAGCCGTAAAGAGATTCTAGAAATCTAGTAAGGAGTTAACCTAAAAATATATAAAGAAGTAAATAAAGTAAGACTTACTCTTCTTATTACTCCTAAAGAACGCTTTTTACTACTTAAACTACTAAGGTTAGGTATACTTTTATTATAGAGTAGACCTAAGAGGGCATAGGCTGTGGTCGCGCTACTACCCCCCTCTGCCACGTACGGCGTGTTGCACGCACGCGATAAAAGGTAACGAATTAACTAAGCTGCCTAGCTTATCGGTGGTGCCCGCAATTGCGTCGTAATTCACTTAGGCCACGTGACCACTTATCGCCCGCAAAACGCCGCCCGTGAAATCGTGTGCAGGACGCCTGATAAGTGCATTTGATAAGTTCCCACCCGACTTATCGGGTTTCCGGCCAACCCAGCCCAGACATTCGCCCCGTAGGAAGGTTGCCCGATCGACCGAGATGGCCGCGGACGACTCGTACACGGCAGCTGACGAGCGCGCCCGTGCCGCCCGGAGGGCGCGGCATCCAGGCGAAGAAGGACGAACAGCCGGCGAACACGACGCGGAGTTACGCGGCGAAGCAGCGGGAGTGGAAGGCGCGTCCCCGGCCGGTCCTCCACTTCGATCCCTGTCACGTACGGCCCCTGGGCGGCTAACAGACAAATGCGTATAGGCCTGGTGCCATACGCCTCGGGCTGCAGCAGACGGCTCGCTCTATAGCTGGCCCGACGGCGAGCTCGTAACGCCGGACAAGCTGGCGGCGTGGCTCAAAGAGGATATCCTGTTACGACGCGTTGTGCCGCCGCAGAAGAAGAAGCCGCGCGCGCGGGGTAAGATTAGGGGCAACGGCAACGGCGAGGCCGTACAGGTACGGCAACAGCGCGAACAGGAGCAGCTCGAGGCCGCGGCCATGGCAGAGGCCGAAAGCCTGGCCGAAGCTTTGGAGGTCCCCCTGGCCGAGGCCGCCGAGCTGCTCGCTGACGACCGCGAGGGCTACGTGCCACCCACAGGCCTCGCGACGGCTGCAGTAGACCTTACCGAAGGGTCTTTGCTTACGAGGGGCACTATCGACGCCTATATCGCGGCCGTTATCGAGCCATGGAGGCTCCAGGTGGCTCACGGCAACGCGAATACGGAGAATCCCGGGCGCCGCCGTACGAGGATTCCTTGAGCAACGGGGCCGGCAGCGGGGAAGCACGACCGCGCCTCCTTTAAAGACCGCGGAAGCGACGGGATCCAGGCCGGCTACCTCCCGATGAATGGCTTCGGATCCAGGATCTCCTTCTCACTGGCGCCGCGTATACGCCGCAAAACCTCCGTACGCGAGTCGACCTCCTCTTCGGCCACTACTACCTCTTACGGGGGGAGAACCGGCGCAAGATGGAGCTTGCAGACCTATCCCTACTCGACTATCCGCCTTCGGAGGGCCCGACCCCCTGTGGTTGCCTGGTAAGCCTTTTACGGGACGGCAAGCTAAATAAGACGGCGAGGAAGGAGTTTATGGGCGCGCTCCGGCACAAGGACCCCTTATTCTGTACGCAAGGGCCTAGCACAGCTCTTCTTTGGCGCTGGCACGTCGCCGGCGAACCGCCCCGTCCTTCCGGCGCCGTCAGGACTGGTATCGGATCAAGGTCCTCGTCGGGCGGGACCGCGAGCAGGAGCTCGTACCCGACGCAGCTACAAGAGACCTGGCGTATCTTCGGCGCTGCCGGCCTTATCGCGTCGAAGAAGACGCACCTCCCGCGCAGGGTGGGCGCCCAGGACGCGGAGACCCATGGCACGTCGCTCGCCCAGATCTCGCAGGCCGGCCGCTGGAACCAGAGCGTGCTCTGCCAGGCATATCTTACGCACCTACCGCGGCAGTTCATGCGTATCGTCGCCGGCTTCTCGGCCTCCCCGGGGGACTACTTCCTCGCGCGTGCGGCTCACGAACCCCCGTACGTCTTACAAAAGCAGCTGTGGCCGTGGATCGAGGAGTGGGAACCCGCTTTGAGGCGCGGGCGCGCCGGCAATGCTGGGCAGAAGGCGGTCTCGACGACGACGACCCAGCCGCTGACGGCTTCCTTGCTTATGCGGCGCCTGCGTATAGTACTTCTGCAGGACCTGGCCGTCCTACAGCTCCGCTACCCGTCGCTACCGTTCTTCGCCTACGCCCCTTTGGCGGGCCCGAGTGGGACGAGTTCGCCGTCGCCGTGCGGTCCACCGCGGTAGGGCTATGGAGCCGGTAAGCCTGCTCGTACGACGCGCGCTGCCGGAACTAAGCGGCGTCATAGAGAGCACGCGGGAGGCCCTGTTACAGAATAGTCAGCGGCTCGCCATCCGGCTTGAGGCCCGGCTGGACGGGATTCAGGGCGGCCTCGATGCCCTCCTCCAAGGCAAGGTCCCTATCACCTTTACCGGCTACTTCGGAGCCGGGTCAGCAGAGGCGCTGGCCCCAGCCCCGGCCCCGGCCCCGTCAACAGTACCTACCTTGAATCTCAAGCATGCCTATCGTCACAGCCCTGGCAAGGGTCTTTACGGTGGGGGACGTCTGGAAGGAATGGGGTGAAGGGTTTGCAGGTCAGAAGGCCGTACGGGAGCTGGAAGAGACGTGGGGAAGCCGCTGGCGCCGGGAACGGGGTCAGAGTGCAGTTCTGTCGCCGGAAGGTGATCTGGGACGAGCTGTTGGCCCGTATGGCGTCCGGCAAATGCAAGGAGGCGGCCGTTGCAGAGCTAGAGCTGTTACGCGCCGGCCGAAGCTTGAACCGACTCGTCGACGAGCTCAAACAGCGCCGACGGCGGGGCCAGGATCGGGGCCAGGGCCAGGGCCAGATACGGGTACAGGTAGGGACCCCCGTGCCCGATGACCCAGGTCCAGGCCCGGGACCAGGTCCAACTCGAGGTCAGGGCCGTCGGGGGCGGAGGACCCGGCTGGGAAAGCGGACCGCCCCTCGTCGACGTAAGCCAGCCGCCTCGTAGAGTCTTTATACATATTTATATCCATGTAACTAGACATATTTTTGAGGATCAAAGGGCCGTAGGATCGGTGCATTACTATCTCGCAGTTCCTGTAGCCGAGCCTAGCCCCCCCATTACCCATTCGCGGCGCTGCAACGCAAATATCTCGACGGACAGTAGCCTATACGGAGTGCTCCTCGACCAAACGCGCCGCCGGAGTGGAGTAGTCCCCCAGGCCCCGGAATGGCCTCGATTGGGCTGCTGGCCGTGGAGATATTCGCGTGCGCGGCGCCGGGCACTTATCAGATGGTAGATATGTAATCGCATACGATTTCCCGAAATTACTCCGCAAATCGACCCCACGATAAGTCCTGCTTATCAATTGACCACACTTATTAACTATCTAGGCAACGCCTAGACTCTTACACATGGTTTCTTCCCGCGCTCTCTTCCGTCACTCCCTTAGTTGATAGGCCATTACCCCTAGGTGCCGCACCACCTGTTAGCCTAGGTTGAGATCCCCCGCTGCCTGCGCCATGCACACGCCTCTAGGCTGCGGCGCCCGTATGCATGCGCGCCTGTCTGGCCTCACGCACGGGGACTCGAACCTACGACTAGTAGGTAGCTTAGTCAACATGTCATGGAGTAGACCTAAGAGGGCATAGGCTGTGGTCGCGCTACTACCCCCCTCTGCCACGTACGGCGTGTTGTACGCACGCGATAAAAGGTAACGAATTGACTAAGCTGCCTAGCTTATCAATTGACCACACTTATTAACTGTCTAGGCAACGCCTAGACTCTTATAACTTTAAGTACCTATAGCTTAGAAAATATTAACTAGACGGCTATATTAAAGTATCTTTAAAAGTACTAAAATACTAGTACTTCTTAGTTCTATAATAATTAGTATATAAGAGTAGTTAAGGTTAAGAAGATTAAAATACCTTTTAGTCTTACTTAAGTGCTTCTTTAATTCCTTAAAAAGGTTGCTTATTACCGAACTAAGCGCTAAACTTAAGCGACTTATTGCCTTTATTAAGAAGAAATATAATCTCGTCGATTTATTAGGCTTTATTCTCTATCTTAGCGTCGATATCCTTTTAGTTAGTATCCTTTTTAGTAAGAGCGTCCTTATTAAGGATTATATCGCCCTATAATACTAGTAAGTAAAGTATTTCTTTAACTTAGTCTAGATATTAGCTAAGTAGAAAACTAAATTATTTTTAATTAGTATAAAGATTAATTTATTTCCTATAGTTACTACTTAGTACTTACTACTTACTTTTAATTTTACGAGAATCTTTAGTAATTATAGTAGCTTTTTCTTCTTTACTTATATTTATCTAGGTTATAGAGGACTAGACTTTCTTTCTTAATCGTATAATAGCCTAATATATTATATTCTTAGCCTTTTCGAAGACTTTCTTATCGTTAGTTATCTTAGCAACGCGATCGCGTGCTTTCTTTATATTTATATTTATTAATAGGGTATCTTCTACCTTCCGTTTTTTTAAAGGCATACTAGGCGGACGGCCTATTATAGATTAGTATAAAGATTAGTATAAAGTAAAGAGGAGTATTTAGGAACTCTTACTATATCGCTGTCGCTTTTAATTATCTATAAAGAAGAGAGCTAAGAAATACGAAAATCTCTAAAATTATTAGCTAAAATATTATATAAAATAGAGAGAGATATTACTTACCGTTTAATATATAGTGTTAATATAGGTATTAAAAGTAAAATGAAAATTCCTAACGCTAAACGAAGACTAAATCTTTACCCTATATAGACCTACTTTTTACTAGAAATCGATTAGGTCGGTAGATCTTTATAACTAAATAACCGTATTTTAATTAGCTAAGAAGCTTATTACTACTAGCTTACGTTATCGTAACCTTTCTTTTTTTTTCCTCCCTCCTTAATAAATATATACTCGCCTACGACCGCTAAGCTTTTAAGGTTAGTACGCTATCCGTATATAAATAGCCTTATATTAATATACTAATTATTTATAGTAATCTCGCTTTTAGTCTTATAGCACGCGGCCGGTTTTTTAGCCGGCTAACCGGCGGAAAGACTCTCCCTAGCTAGAATATAAATACTAGCGGAAAAACTAGCGGTAAAAGCAAGTAGAAATTAGTTAAGCTAGTAGGCATTATTAAGCGTAAACGAAGATTTAAGCTAGGCAGTAAGTCTTTATTTATCTTTTCTTACTTAAACGCAATAAGACTTAAGTATATTTCTTTCTTAGATTATCTATTAATTTTAATATTAGCTATTGCTTTACGCGAAATTCGAAAATTCTAGTAAATTCCCGATTTACTTATCCCTCGCGCCTCGTTCGCCCGCCTTATTCGAGAGGTTATATAAGACATTACTCCTAGCCTTCGTATTTAGAAGGCAGTATTAGCAGCTATCTAGGAGTCGGTAGAGAGCATGCTAGCTACTATATTCTAAGGTAAGTTAATATAATTATTATACTAATTATTATACTAACTAGCGACTATAAATAGTAATAGGACGGCTAGCTATTGCGGCTAAAAAAGTTATAATTTAGTAGAAAGATATTACTACTCTTAAGGATATTATTAGTATCCTCGGGAAATAAGACTAGTCTTTCTTAGTCTAAAACAAAGCTAGTATATATACCTTATTAGAAGTTATTATATTAATCGTTTATACTAACCTTTTTCCTTTAGCGTATAGTTCTACCTCTTAGCGTAACTATTCTAATCTATTAAGAGTCGAAAAATAAAAGCTTCTATAAAGCACACGACTAGCAAAGATTAGAGAAGCGCGTGCTTATAAAGTTTAGGCCTAAAGAGATAATTTTAATAAGAAGCGGAAGTAGTTAAAGGAGTAACGATAATTAAAGGTATAGCGAAAGAAGAAAACTACTACTATAGAGATTAATAATAAGGGGAGCGAAAATAAAGATAATTCCGACTATAAATAGCCCTAAACGATTAAAAAGACCTATAAAGTCCCCCTAGATAATAAGGCTAATAAGGATAAAATATTCAAAGAATTACTATAATCGTTAGGCATAGAAGAGCCTATAATAACCGTAGATAGGCTTAAGCTTATCCTAGCCGGCGGGAAGTATAAGGGTAGAAAGTTAGGAGTAAAAGAGGCTAAAAATATCCTAGCTCTAAGTTAGAGATAAGGAGATAATTAGTATAATTAATTAGTACTAGACTTCTAGTTCTCTAATCTCTATAAATTCGCTTAACTAAAAGTAACTTCGAATAGGAATCTACTAAGTTATTTTAGGCTAGTCTAAGTACCTAGCTTTACCTAAAGCATATATTAATAACCCGTGGGTAAATATGGTCTTTTGTCTTAAAACCCATTTCTACCCATGGACTAGACTGAAAAAATTGGGCGGCCCATGGGTAGCCACGGGCGCCCACTTTTAAAGTCTATATCACTCTATCACAAACGCGTATAAAATGACCGGTAGCTCCTCTCATTCTCCTATCTATTCCAGTGTATATTTTCTCCTAAATATTTCCCTTTAAGGAGTTCGACGCTAAATACCTTCCCAGTTTACTTAAAATGGCGCCGCGAACCATATACCTTGCTAAATATCGCAGCGGTAGTCAGCGTGCCCACTTTGCCATATTCGTGCCAAACTCTGCCGGGAACCATATTGATCTTGAAAAGGAGTTTAGAAGTGTAAACTGCCCAGTTACTGTCATTCACGTTGTTGGAGAGCCTCTCATGTCGGGGTTCGCACTCGAGATCAAACGAAATTACGACGGAAAATACTCATTGCAACTCGAAAAAGTAACCGCCCTGGGCTCTATCGACTCAGCTCATATATTTGAGCCTCCTAACAAAGAGGTCAAGACGGAAAGCATTACTAGATGCAAGCTAGAACGTGAGGCGGCTCAGGTACCGCCTCCTCCTAAGGGTCAAGACCTACGCGCCCCTATTGACGGTGTAAGTGTCCTAGTCGCCATTAGACGAACTTCCTAGGACTCACCTATAAGCTTTAGGTGAAAACCAAACGATGCCAAGAATGGACAATGGAATTCCTCAAGCGTCTTGTGACAGAAGGTCTTCTTACAGCCGAAGCGGTTGGTATTGCAGAAAAAGAACGCGACCCGCCAACTCTGGGCATATTTGGGTACAAGTAAGGGTTGTCGCCAATTTAAGAGTCGAGTCTTGCGGGCTTGATATAGTATCAAACTGCAAGGCCGCTGCTCCGCCGAATAAGTCATATGAGATCACAAGAGGGTGTGCAATAGAGTCAAATTGAAGCGATCCG